GAATGAGGAGCTCAGAAGCGAAGAAATTAGTTAAGGACATTAAGCTGTAAAATTAGGCGTTATCTACAGACAGCGTAAGGTTAAGTGATAAAACACATCACAAAGTAAGAATAAGTCGTAGTTTTTCCAATCTTATTAACTCTATCGTGCATCCAAAGGATGTCGCCTCGCATCTCGCTTTTAAGATTTACTTTATCAAGTCACTGTATCCTAATTTTTTCCAATACCCACCGGGGCATTAGATGAAAATAATTATAATTTGGAGGATTCATTTATTACATGGCATACTTAAGCCCCGCCTTCAATACATCCTCATATTCTCTACTCTCTTGTCCTGAAATATCAAGTTAAGGCAGCATTGCAATTGGTATATTTGTACTCCCCTCATAATAAAGAGTTGAATTTACCTCCTGATTACAACTTTCTGAATCCCGCATAGAAATTCGCCCTCTATGGTTGGTTTTGTATGCTCTTCCAACTGAACACTTTAGCGGAGTCGAATGAAGAGTAGTAAACGAAGTGAGATTGGTCTGTCTTGTATTTTTCGTTGAGTGAACTGGTGTCCGCTTGAATGCCTCTGTAGCCTATTCGTTTGATATATTATAAGGAAATCACGCAAACCCACTTAGTAGGCATTCGAGTTACTATAAACCGTTGGAAACCCCACTCATCACTTTTTTTCCATAAAAATCTAACCGACGGCCCTTTAATAAAAATCAAATCGTATTCTCCACAGTGATAAAGACTGAACAGTATAAATTGGAGTCCAACTTTCTGTAGTATATATTCCGAAACCTGTAAAAGACACATCTGATGATTATGTAAAATCATTTGGCTATATTTGTGTTTATTGTGAATTCACAAACATATCTCGCCTAGGAAGTAATTCATAGGATCCCTCCTTTGTCCGATAGTTCTTTAATAGATTAGATCCATTGAATAGTTGACTTTCACTTAGTTTGGTGAATTTCATTTTGTGTGAAAAGGGCTGACAAAGATACTCGTATGTTAATCAAACAGAAAAACGAAGGCTGATTTTACAATGATTGTCAGATTGCCGCAATCCCATTGACGCCCTCCTTTGGTTCCAAAGAAGACTGCAGTTTTCGTCTCCCATATGATTGACAGCACCAAGGCATAAAAAGATACACACAAAACTTCTGGCTAATTGACTATTCCTTGCGTGCCATATATTCTCACTCTCCTCGGCAATGTCGCCCATTAAATCATAACTTTATTCATTCTATTTCATTTAAGTTGATTAAATTGAGCTGTTTAATTTTTCCACAAGATTATGAAGAGCCCTCATGTTTCCGATGAATTTGATATAGACTTGCTCCCATAAGATATTCTTATCCCGGGAGGAGGAGGAGCGATAATCATCCTATTTAAGGACTGGTAAAGGACTGGTAATTAAATAAAGTTCCCATAGAGGTGTTGATGAGACATAGGCTCGCTCCGAGTTACTATCCAGTCTCGATGTTACTCGAACTTCAATAGAAACATGAGATCTATTCATTTAATTGTATGACAACTCAACTGCTAGTCTTTCATCAACCTAACCGAAATAAGTAGATACATCCATTGGTAGTCTAGAAAATCTTCTTTAAAAATTAAATGTCATCCATTGCCAGGACAACGATAATTCAGCACTCTTCATCGGAAGCGAAGGTGTACTCCTTCAACCCAAATATCATAGTAATGAGATCGACTGTCACTTGGCGCAACACACCACGACCATGTTGTCTAAAGCAATCCAACTTGACCCATTAACTGCTCGTGTATACGACTTTCCGCGTATATGAATGCTTCTAGAGCCCATCAATGATTGGCCAATTTGTAAGGGACGAATCAAAATTCAGCAAACCTATCATGAAAAGTTCTGGTTAAAATCTAATAAGTAAAGTTGGTCCGATCTTCGACGTAAAAGTATCTTGGTTGTCGGCATCGATGGATGTTTATTATCTAAACAAAGGTGGCTGCTCCTTGCTAATTTTAGATTTCTCAGCCTTTGGCTCCCATACTCGCCATATTCACCCCCTTTGTGGTGAATCCGTACTATCGGCTGAGTAAGCGGATGAAGCAGATAAGAATTTATTACCTTGAGCATAAGCAGCCCATCAGTCCTGGATCGTAAGCATGTCTGCCACTTTGCTCATTGAGCAGAAGCTGCTGACTCCTCGGCCGGCCTCGGGTGTCGCTTCACCTGGGCTGAGAACTCCTGTGATTCCTTCGACTAGAGCCAATGATTCGCTGCAAGGCAACGACCTTCTCGCCAACCAGTCTGGTGAGCCAGTTTCGCCGGGCATCTGGTTTCTAGTTCTCTTCTTCTATCCCCCCATTACTGTGCTCAGTGCTATTGGCAACATGTTGGTTCTCATCATTGTCATTCGTCGACCCGTGCTGCACACCGTCACCAATTTGTTCATCGCCAATCTGGCCGCTTCTGATCTGTTGATAAGTCTGATCGCGACCCCAGTCACACCAATCGCCATGATCTCGGAAACCTGGATGCTTCCGGACGCAATGTGCAAACTGCTCCCTGTCACAATGGCCCTTTGTGTTTACGTGAGCACACTCACATCGACTGTCATCGCCGTGGACCGGTATTTAATGATTGTCCACCCTTTCGTTCCACGCATGAAAAGCTGCCTTCTGGCGGTAATCATCGCCGCAGTCTGGCTGGTGGCCATTCTATTCAGTATTCCCTCAGGCCTCTATCGACAAGTGGTCACAAAGTTGGACGGACAGTTAGACTGCCATGAGAAATGGCCGAACAGAAGTGCCTTAAAGGTAACTTCACCCCATGTGCCATCTTCTCTCTTTCATAGACATATTGTTTTGCTATATGGCAAAAGATAGTCCAGAATTGATAGGAAACAAGCAGTCGGCTTAGATGTTTTAGATAATTCACCATCTAAAGAGTGACAAGTTTTCATTTCTTTCACTTGTAGTGAAAATATGTGAAGAATAGACTCGTGGGGCGACCTCGTCAGAATACATCGAAGGATTCCGTTAGGTGTGCTATGTATGGTCTTGTCCTATTGGGACGTTCTGGTTGGCACAGTCCTCAATACACCCTCCTGTGGTCCTTGTGAAAACGAACTAAGCTCTTCTCTGTCCTGCCAGTTGAGACATATTCTTATGATAATCTCGAGCCCATAAAATTGGGAAAACTAAAAGGCTAGTCTTTCCTTGCTCACGGAACGGCCTGACTATTGTAAGGTGTAGAAATATTAAGTTATTTTTTAACGACAACTATCTATATCGCTGTTTAACTATGTGTGCGTGTGTGTTCTCTTCACATGGACTTTATTCAAGTATGTCTTTGGAAAATAGTCATGAGTATATGTAATTATTCTTGAGGCTCTGTCTTGCAAGCATTCTATCAGTTTCCTTTGTGGGATACTTACATACTTTTGAAGATGGCCTAACTGATTACAGAAAATTAGCTACTTATTATCTTTTCCCACAGAAATGGGAACTCAATAGTCACACCCGTGAAAAACTATCCTTTGCTTGGAATGAAAGAGAAAGGCTAGATAAAACTCAAGTTTTGCTCAGTTCGTTTAAGTTACCCTCTTCAAAGGATACTTAAACGAATGCTTTTATACGGACAAGTGAGTCTGAGTCTGCCTTCTCAACTATGTGAAACTCACTTACCCGGCCTCCCCTGAAATAGCTACTGCGGTCTCAGGACTTATATTTGGAGACATCTTCACTCCATTTGCAACCAGTCTTCTGGCGAGCACTAAAACTATGGGCAAGCTCTGGTTATCCCCCTTCTTCCTACCCTTTCAGTTGAGTGAAAGCCTCCCTTTACGGCTTGGTTTGACCAGGCTTCAGCTTTTGAAGCAAATAAATTGAAACCGGCCCTCGGATGCAGCAAAGCATTAGGGAGTAAGAAAGGTATGCAATACAGCACGTTTGCGACCAAATCCAATTACCAAACACATACGATATTGGCAAAATTCAGTTTCTTCATCTCAATCTCTCCGACAGTTTCGTAGGATAAAGAAATACTTTTCTCGCAGTGGACATAATTAGCTCGTGAATTTTTGTGAGTTTTTTGAGGATTCTTTGGTCCTTATTCCTCTGTATCAGCCAAATTCTAGCATGATATTATTGCTAGCATTAACATTAGTATTGTTAGAAAGACATTTTGGGTTAAACTGACTCACTAATTGTGCGAATAAGTCCTCCACGAATATGAGATGAACTTTTCCCGGTCAAGCCGTGAAAAATCGCCTCAAATTCTAAAACCTATTTTCAATAAAACTCAGCAATGGCTAAGCCAAAAATGGTAATCAAATTCAATCCCCCATAATTCTGACATTCCGTTATTGTGTATAACAGCGTCGATTGGAGTAGCTAATACATATTTATATCGAATAAGTACTCAGTCACTCTAGATCGCTTTAGGTGAGTTAAGGGTTGATAGTTGAGTTTTTCCCACAATAAGATAAGTAGGCTTTACAATGCCAAACAATTTTACTTGGCTCTGCCTACTCAAAGTTTAACTCCTCTAGAGTGGACTGTGGCACCTACCTCATCGGAGTCTAATCAACATCCTCAACATGATTCAATAATTAGTCGTGAGTATTGTGGCGACCTTTGCCACTCCAATACACATACCACGGTGCCAATGGGCCACAATGCAAATTCAACATTCAAGGTAAGCCAGGTCTCTTTCAACTCCCAATTTATAATGCGATTTTTATTAAACAAACATGTGTTAGCTATTGCAATAGACGGTGCTACTCATTTTCAATATAAGTAACTTTAGGAACTATCAGTGATTTTTTACTTAGAGCATAGCCAACCTAGGCTGCTTAAGTTGATTTAATGAATGATAAAGGAGTTTTTTACAATAAGATGAGTAGGCCTCTCATCATAACCCTACTATGAACCCAGACGAAGAGGAAATTACTGTCCAGCCTGAATGGGAATAGCCTATTGGAAGCAGGGATATGTGAAATGTAACGGCATCGTGAGGCCTATTCATCTCATTGTTGAAACATTCACTTATCAGTCATTAAATCACCTTAAGGTGACATAATTCTTTTTCTATAATTACTGTTAATCTTGAAAGCTATTTATATAAAAAATAACTGACCTCCTGAATTGCAATGTCAAACACGTTTTCGTTTAATTGGAAATCTACCTAAAGTATGAGTTGAGAGTCTTGGTTTGCTTTGAATGTCTCACCTGACTTTTGAGTCACTGACACTCTTGTCTGTGCAGTGGAGTGGTAAATATTGCCATGATTCACACCACCCGGTGTCGAATCCTAATAAGTGTGTTGATGAGACCTGGGTGAAGTAGAAGTCTCAGTTCAGCCTTGATGACAATCTTTTGGAAATCAAGAATAAGTAAAATCCAATGGCGTCCTGTAATCTACTCACCTCAAATCAACGATCAATTCTTAAAACACCCTATGCGACCTAGGAGGACTCAATTCTGATTACGTTATAACTAATAGTTTCGAAGGCTACCTACATCAACATATTTACCTTACCTTAAAAGTCGAATCTGCCCTATTATCAAATGGCTCTATAATGGCAACATGCCGCAAAGTTGAACACGACCCGATTTCCAGCCACTTCAAAGCTGATATTGAGACGACGAATTAAAGTCGAAATTGCAATCAGCTATGTAGCAGAAAACGTTTTGGTAGGCAAGGTTAATTGAAATCTGATGACATCTTGGTGCCATTATTTATGAGAACAGCCAATTAGAATTTGCATAATAATAAATGATCAAGGTGACCATGTACAAATTCGTATTGTCAAAAGTTGCTATATTTGTGAGGCCATCTATGATTTATTTGAAAATATGATGGCCAAGATGGTTTGGTATTCGACATATCACAGTCTCCTTACTATGTATTAAAGTGGGCTGATCTCGCTTTCGCAACCTGGTCATGTTGCCATGGCGAATATAGCAGAGGACAAGGTGCGTCCAACTAAGTCGTCCTAACAACACGGTCTTGTTGCGAAAACGAGGTCAGCTCATTTCTAGCATTTATATGATTTGTAAATGCCTCTTTCTACATGCCTGTGACTATAGTAAATTGGAGCTGTGTGGCCAAAATATCTCTTTCATTAATCTAATTTTTATGCACTCTGATCCTGCAAAGTGAAGGCTCAAGTAAGATGCTAGAGTTCAAAACCCAACTCCAGACAAATCACGACTCTTCTTTTGACTCATTATCTCGTCCTGCTCCATCCTCTTTATTCTATCCAAAGGCCCTCTGCCTAATCAGAATGAAATAAGTGTAGATTATTTCTATCAATTTACTAATCTTACGCTCAGAAAGCATATTCATGTATGCTAGACCATTTTGTTTGTTGTCATGTATAAGCCATGAGTTTTCACAAATCCAGATTTTATTTTCACAAATCTTCGCATGCTTTTTCCTCTACATATGTTATCTTATATATGAATTGCCTAGTCTTCTCCCCCTGCCTCTTGAGCCAAACAGTGTGTAGCTGATATAGAAACGAGGTATGAAATCTCGAAGGAAAGACTTAGCTAAGGAAAGTGTTCGTTTCTCTTTATATCATATTTTAATGTCCCGCGTCCCCAGTGATCTACCCATATATTTCGTATATAAGTAGGTTTTCGAGACCACTAGTAGACCATATATATATATATGGTGTATTCACCCTATTTCGTGTAAGGTGAAAAGGAGACTCGTATGTGAATTTTCCCACAATGCTATGAATAGACCCTACGTGTTAATTGGATTTCACATAGTCTTGCTTTCCCAACGGTTATTTTAATCTAGGCTGGACTGTAGTTTTGACTTGCCTAGATTTGATCAGTACCCTCAGCGGGACTCGAACCAAAGCAGCGCAGTGTATGATTTAGTCATGTCAGACACTAGGTCACATTGCCATGAGTCTCCTTGGGTCACAGGGCAGATGCGAATTCAGCTGCCAGTCCCTTTAGTACCTTAAACAAAATAGGGTATATGCCCCTCATAAAAGTATTCTTTTCTAAAATCCAAATGAGTATCAGGCTTTAAGAATTTGCTCTATACCAATTGCTGCCGATCCCCCCTTAAAAGGTTTATTACCAAGAAATAACGTTTCAAATTTAATCGGCCTTAAATCAAGTCTTTTTTGCAAAGCATCCTGGGAAAAAATCTTGTCTAAATATATGTCTTGCATTAATTTTTTTATGTTATTATAATACCTTTTAGCGTAGGCTCTGGCAGGAAATTTTACTACATAGTACAAATATTGTAATGTATTGTGATGATATGAATTCGTTAGTCATGTGTACTAGAAGATCATGCCCACTATGAAATTAATCGCTTTTTCATTTCTTTTGAACTTGCGAATGTTCGATTTACTAAATATTTTGATTTAGCTATTTACTTTCGTTATTCTTCCATTTTTCGTCCAGAATATACTTTTTTAAGCGTGACATATTTGAGGAGAAAATGACTGTTAAAGTATGGATAAATGAAGGTGAGTGAGAGCGAGAAAGGAAAGGAAGTCCAAGAACTACAGTTAAAAAACAACGTAAACGAATTGTTGAGCTTACTTCCATTTTGAGTGAGTGTTGGGTAGAGATATTCGAAGGTCGGTACCAGCAGAAGACGACGGTGGATTCCTCTTGACCAGCTGTCGATTGGCTTTACTGGAAGATTCATGCTGACGCTG